CATATTCGACATCCCAGTACCTAAAGAAAACAAAATATTTCCTTAGGATACAACATAGGATATATCCTCAAACACAAATACCAACTCACTTTTTATGCTCCATCCAATAATGTTCCTATTTTCTATATGGATGCCTCCTTCTATATCCTTTTCCATTAGGGGAATAAGCACGGTAAGCCAGTATTTGATAAATAGGGGAAGATGCTCCTGCAGGTGGACCTCCACCGCCAATAATACCACCACCTACACATGCTTTCCCTGAATACCCACAACCATATAATTCAATGGTTTGAGTAGTTAGAAATTAGGTTGGATTATCACTTTCAATACCAACCACAACAACAATATGAAGACATAAGATGGTTTGGAGAAAAGTTTTCCATGATTGACAATCAATTTACCTCCATCCATTAATTCTTTCAACCACCACCACCACCTGATAAGGATCCGCCTTACCTGTAAACATAAGATGGTTTAGAGAAAGCTGTCTGATCCAAAGGAAGCGAAGCTAGGGAGAAAGAGGCCGAAGCTCTAGCTTGGGCCAATGCAAAGGGAGTCAGGGGGAGAGTGAGAGTGTGCCAATATTCTCTCTAGGATGGGCTGAACCAAGAAAAGGAGGAGAAGGATCCGCTCCTACTTCCTGAGGATTATTTCCTACTTCTCTTAATCATAGAAATGAGCCCTGCTCGCACTGCCCGCCCTGACCTCCTCCTGAACACCTTTCTAAAATGAGGTTTTTGATATCTCCAATAACGACAGAATCAAGCCAAAGAACTGTGACCGTCAGGTTATTTTTCAGATTTAGGAAACTAATTCAAATGTATTAGAAAGTCAATTAGGGTTCAATTGAAATTAAATTAGGCCTATTGGGCTAAAAACAAGTCTACATTAGGTGTAATTCAGGTTAGTTCAAATTTGACCCAACTTGATCAAATTAATTCAATAATAATAATAATAATAATAAAATCATACTTGAATTGATGTTGATTCGGGTTGAGTTGAGCTCGACGAGGCCCAATCAACCCGATCAAATACGCTCGAGGGAAAATCAAGATAAAAATGAGGTCAACAAACACACAATAGGTGCGACGAAAGATGAGTGAGCCGAATGTGTTGGCGTTGACCTCCCTATCTTTAGGATGATGCAACCCTTTGACTAGCTAAAGAGACTCACTATGAAGATGCAATTCTACAACTAGCTAAAGAGACTTACTGGGAAGATACAATCCTAAAACCAACTAATGGGAATCGAGAACATACAATCACACGACAATCATGCGATAAATGTCCCACCATGCTATGATCACACAATCACACAATGCTCATGCAAACATGCAATAATGGGATGATCATTCAATTATACAATCATCATCAAATTACACAATAATCATATAAATCATAGAATTATTACACACTCATGTCACAACCATCTTATCATCAAGTCATGTAATATTTATATACTCCCATAATATTATATAACTAAGCAATTATCACATACTTGTGTCACAATCAATTGATCATACAACAATAATCAAATCATATCATAATCATGCTATCACATAGTAACCACACGACCATGCGATAAGCATGTGATAACCATCTTATCATATTAAATCACATAATAATAAGCAAATAGTTGTTTAATAGTCACACAATGATCACATAACTATACAATGATCATATGATCACACAATAATACAACTATCAATTAATTATGCAATTGTCATATGATCATACAACAAACCCAAATATGCAAAAATCACTCAATTATGCAATGAGCAATCCAAGATGCAATGATCACCTCAAGATCAAACAATCATGCAAAGATCATGCACTCAATCAATCCTTTAGTCATGCTAAGATCGCACCATAATGACATAACCATACAAGCATGCAACGATCAATAAATCACGCAATGGCCACTCAATCATGCAGACATGGTGGGACATAAGAGAACAAAAAACCAAACATTTGCAAGACTAGAACAAAATGACGAGCAAGGATAACTCGATACTCACCTGACCAGATCAAAATAGTGAGAATGTGCTAAAAGAAACTCAACAACCACTATGAAAACTCAACAACCACTAGGCAAATTCAACAACCACTCAAAAAGCTCACAACCACTCGACTGGAGATCAAGGGTGAGAAAGGACAAGGGACACACGACGATCACCTAGTGCACAAGCCCATTGTGATGCAAAGAGGAAAGGAACACTCAACCATGAGTCTGATAGTGAAGTGAAGAGGAAAGGAAGCACCTCCGTCTGGCCACAGGCCATAAAATAGCGAAGTCCCTACCTGGTCATAGGTCTGTCAGTAGGATAAAGAAGAAATGAACAAATCATTTGACCATAGGTCTGTCGGTGAAGAGGAAAGGAAGCACCCTCGCTCAGCCACAAGCTACAAAATAGCGAGGTCCCTACCCGTCCATAGGTCTGTTGGTAGGATAAAGCAGAAACTCAACAATCATGCAGTACGTATATCAAGGTGATGTGAAAAGGCCAAGAAGCACTCAATGATCACCCAGTGCATCTGTTGAGGTGATACAAAGAGGATAAGCAAACACTCAACAATCACCCGGCGCATCTGCTAGGATGATACAAAGAGGACAAGGAAACACTCAACGATCACCCGACACACCTGGCGAGATGATACGAAGAGGACATAAAACACTCAACGATCACCCGCGCATCTGCCGAGGTGATACGAAGAGGAAAATAACATTGAACGATCACCCATTGCTTCTACCGAGGTAATACAAAGAGGACACAGAACACTCAACGATCACCCAGCACATTTGCCGAGGTGATACGAAGAGGATAAGAAATACTCAATGATCACCCAATACATCTGTCAAGGTGATACGAATAGGATAAGGAAACACTCAACGATCACGTGGCATATCTACCAAGATGATACGAAGAGGATAAGAAATAGTCGACGATCACCTAGAGCACACGTCTAAGGTTATGTGAGGAAAAAGGAATTCAACCATTCACTTGAAAATCATAGTATATAGCAAAGACTAATAATCAAAAGGAAGCAATAAGGAAGAATAATCAAAGATAAGGAAATTATCTATCTGCATGACTATATAGAAATAGCAGAACAGAAGAAGAAAGAGGGGTCTCACATCCACCTGACCATATCGAAATGGTGAATGGAGAAAACTTAGTACTCACCTGACCAGATCGAAATAGTGAGCAAGAGTGAGAAAAGAAAAGAACCAATTATCTGACTAGCTATATTGAAACAACATAACAGAAGAAGAAAGAGGGGTCCCATATCCACTTAACCAGATTAAAACACTGAATGGAGAAAACTCGGTGCTCACCTGACCAAATCGAAATAGTGAGTAGGAGTGAGATTTTCTTTTCTTTTTTTTATTTCTTGCAAAAATAACATTTAATAATTAAATTATTTCTATGTTAAACCAAATTCTAAACCTACCTAACACGAATCATAGATAAAGTTTTTTTTTAAGGGGAAACCCATGAAGAGGCCTATGCGTTGATAAAATTTAAAATTACAAGGTCCTCAAAGGGACCTCGAGCTTTGCTACTGCTCAAAAGAGCTACAGTCAAAATAGCAAAAAAACCTAAAAGCTCAAGGTCCCTACTACGAAAGAGTACAAAATACCCTAGAAACATTCTACGGTGCACAAGAAAGGGCTCCCAAAAAACAGGAAAACAAAGGATACAAACTTTCAGGACGATGTTTCTGATCCAAAAATGAAGAAAGCAAGGACCAACAACAAAAGGAACCATAATCTATCATAGAATGTTCCACCTGCAACTGCAAGGATAAGATCATTCAAAAAGAAGTGCTACCACACATCGCAAAGTAAGTAAAGCCATAACCAAAAATTAAATACCAGACAAGATTAAAATTCATGAAAGGATACATATGCCACGTGAAGCTAAACATGGAATTAAGACTTAAAGAGCTTAGACTGAAATAACTATGAAAAGAACATCCACAAGCCACTCAATCCTACCTTCCTGGCAAGCAAAATCCCTCATAGAAGAGCCCAGCCAGCCAAACCGAGAACCGAGAGAAGAATAAAAAATTAAAAATTAAAAAATTAAAAAAATAAAAAATAAAAAAAATAAGAAAAAATTAAAAATGAAATAAGAATAATAAAATAGAAAATAATAATTAAAAAAAAATACAACAGCAGAATTGGTAACTTCAAAGAATGAAATTATTGCATGATTTAAATTTTCACCCAAAATAAAGTACTTAACTAAATTGACATTAGAAATCTTAAAAAAAAAAAAAAATCTTCAACTGAAATTAGCAGCTACTTACACCATCATATATAATTGTTTGAAACAAAAAAAAATGTCTACATAATAAAACAACATTCAGTATTACATAATATTATAAAGAACAAAATTAAACTTATAACTTCTCACTTACCTCAGAATTTTTTGCTCCTCTGTCGCAGATCCAAGCAAATGACTTCGTTTGCAATCTTACCACCAAAGAACATTATATAGGCAATCAAAGGGGAAAAAAAAAAACAACAAGGCAGCCAATAGATTGCCTCATTTAAGCCTTTATTCGGCAATGATTTCTGAAAAAAACGCCATCTTCTACTTTATTCCCACACAAAAATAAAAAAAAACGGACGTGTATGCTTTCGGCTCTGTAATTCGCAGATCTTGCTGGGTAATTAGCGGAACGTGCTAATCAATTCGGCGGATTCAATAGAATGCGCCGAATCAGTCGGGGCAATGCGCCATTTCATTCAGCTAATTCGCCCAGTTTTAAATTTCTGCCGTTCCGTGCTCCTACTGCCAAGCCTCTTCTTAAAAATTCTTCTTTCTCAACCTCCTAAATATCTTAAGTGCAAACAACACTTTCATTTCTTACTCCAGATTTTGTAGTTCTCTTTCATTTCATGAGATAAAGCACTTGTAGATTCATGTCACTCAGCCATCTCCTACAAGCAAGGCTCTTATATTAAAAGTTACATGTTTAGGAAAGAGGAATAAACTCATAAGCTTATATTGAATTTTATTCTTAAAAATGGCTCATACAAGATGATAATGCTCAATGTCTACTTATACTTGATTACATAGCAAATTTAATACAACTTTCTACCATCTAACCATCTAACTTAATGATTGAAAATTTAGATATTTTCACGACAACATTTATATTAAAATTTTCTTAATGCTCAAAAGACTTCAACAACACATAATTACATGAATTATACAATAAGGTAAAAGGAAGACATCCTTTTTCCATCATAGCCAGTTCTCTGACATGCATGAGCAAGCATTGGAAGATATCTGAGAAGCTCTGAACTGGTCCACAATTTATTTATGAATGTTCCGTGCTATAATCCACAATCTTCGTCTTTAAATCATCATTTCATCGTGTAAAGTCTGTAGGGACTTAAGATGATCAATGATTTAAAACATAGAGGACTCTTAAAGTACTCCATTAAATAAATTTATGTCATACCTTGAGGACGGGGAGAAGTCACCATGTTCCCATCAATCCACAAAGAGAAGATGTCTCTGATCTTTAGCCAATCTTCACCTCCCAGCTTGCACCTCTCCTCGAGCTTGGGGCACTTGCTTATCGTCAAAATATGAAGCGTGTTGGGCAATGAACTTGGCAAGGATAGAAGACTTTTACAGTTTGAAATGTCCAATCGTACTAACGATTTCAGGTATCCAACATGCTCAGGCAGAGATGAAAGCCGAGGGCAACTCTGTATTTCCATATCTTCAAGAACTTCGAGTTTATTAATATCATTTGGAAGAAAAAGAAGCATGGGGCAGTTTTTGACTCCGAAATATACAAGGCTGGTCGGTAGCCAATTATCAGGAAAGCACTCTAACTCGTTACAAGAGTCGATCTCTAAACGTTGTAGTGAGCCATACTGAAATTCTGCAGGAAAATATTTTGTTGACAATCCTCTGAGACTCAAAGAGTGGAGAGAAGTGAGAGATGACGATAGTTTCCAAAACAATTCTCCACTCCTTGTAACTTCCAATGAACGAAGATGTTGAAGATAAGGCAACAAAACCAATTTAGGGGTTTCTTCTATCACAAGTTTTTCAAGAGAAGGCATATCATGAGTGATTTTCTCTAACATGGAGCAATTCTTAATTACCAACTCATTGAGAGCATTGAGAGTGCATCCTTCATCTCCACACCATTGCGTCAGAATTGGCATGCTTTCGAGATGAAGTTTTTTTAATGCTCTAAATGGTGATGCATTGCCTCTAACACAGAATTCACAGTTCACACACCGAACTGCAACCATTCCTTGAATATGGAGTTCGATCAGCAATGGAAGGTTTCCAAGTGGCGGGAAAGAAAAACTTTCTCTGCAATTGACAAGTGTCAACAATGTCAGGTTGCATAAATAAGAGGACCCAAACCAAGTTGGAAAAGATGTTCCCATATAACCAACAATCCTTAGACCTCTGAGTCCGTTATGAGGTTGAAGCTCACAAAGAATACGCTCAACATCATCTCTTCTTTGAAATATTTGTGAAGAGTTTAGAGTTTCCTTGCAATTAGCATCCCAATGCAGCTCAAGATATTGAAGGAGTTTTTTGGCTTTTAGTTTTGCTTTTGTAGCTTCTGCAGTTTGTTTAACAAGGTGCAGATTTGAGATAAGAAGTTCCCCGTGAAGTTGATTCAGATTCTCCAGCTCTTCTAGTCCACATCCACTCTTTTCATCTACAACAAATCTTGTTAAAGTTTGCAGTTCGATCAGTAAACCGATTTCTGGTGGCATATACTTCAAGCTGTGCCTCCCCATTAAAGACCACGAGATGTCTTCCTGAGCCATCATCAACATGGAGTCATCATCCCAGTGCAGGTCGATGTGTCGCAGCTTCTGAAGATACTTTATGCCCTTCGGTAGCTCTTCAAGCATGTAGCAATTTCCGAGTCCCAAAGTTTGGAGGAAATATAGCTCCCCAATTGCATCAGGAAATCTTCTAATCTTTGTGCCTCTAAGTTGGAGGCAGCGTAGGTGCTTCAAATAGTTTATTGAATTGGGCAATTTTTGGAGGATAGTGTTGCTCAAATCTAAAGCACGCAGGTTTTCTAGCTTCCTAATGAAGTCATCAGGGAGCGCAGCAAGGGAGTCACCAAAGACCACAAGTGTATATACGCCCCTCAAATTCAACTGATCAGATAAAAAGTCTCTGCTAATATCTGTACCTGCTTCATGGCACGTCAACGATAGATGTCGAGCTTTCCCAATTCCCTGGCCAGGTTTTGCGTTGATGCATTCTCCCTTTGATACATATCGGACAAAATTATGTATGGAAGAATGAATGATGTATTTAGGTCGGTTGCTTTTTCGATCAAAACGTGAGTACTGAAACAATGACCTTCTCTCCAAAAAATCAAAATATTCGCTTCCTACATCTTCCATCCTCTGATCATCAGAACACCGAATGAAATTCTGCGCCATCCATAAATTGATCAGTTCTTCTTTGTCAAACTCAAAACCGTCTGGAAACAACGAGCAGAAAGCAAAACATTGTTTCAGTCGGGAAGACAACAGTTGATAGCTCAAATCAGCTCTCGAACTATTACTATTCTGCAAATTCTCAGTCTTGAGTATGGAACTCCATCTGCTCCTATCTGGCTCCCGACAAAGCCGGAACGCCAAATCAGCTGCAGCTGATGGTAAACCGTCGCACCTCTGAGCAATTACTCCTGAAAAGCCTCCCAAATCATTAACATCAATGCATGGATTTTGTTGAGCCATATAGTAGCAGAACAATGACCAGCAGTCTTGTTCTCCTATGGGCTTCAAAGGATAAATTGTTGATGCACCCATGGCCTTTGCAACTTCAATGTTCCTGGCAGTCACTAGGATTTTGCTCCCCACAGCTCCTTGTAGCAAGGGTGTTTTAAACTTGTACCATTTCCTCCAATCTTCAATCCAAACTTCATCTAAAACAATCAAGTACTTCCTCCCCCTAAGCTTGTTGAGAAGGTCTATCTGAAGACTATTCAAACTCGCAGAAGTTTGTGAGGGACCATCTATGGATTCCAAAATGTCTTTCGTCAGCTTCTCTTCCTTAAAATCTTGAGAGACATGAACCCAAGACCTCAGTTTGAAGCTCTGTTTCACATGGTCATCATTGTAGACATGCTGAGCAAGGGCTGTCTTCCCAAGGCCTCCTATACCCACAATGGAAAGAACACTAGTGTTGGATTCGCCAGCCACATTAGGCCTCAGTAACAAATCTAGTATTCTTCTCTTATCGTCATCCCTGCCAAGAATAAGCGGTGGCTCAAGTGAGGAGCTCTGATTGCTGGTGATATGCAGCCTCTCTTGCTCTGGTTGTAGCCCATAATCATGGCGTTTCTTCTTGATATCTTCCATTTTCATCTTCATGTTTCTCACTCTGCTAGAGATATCATGTAGAAACATACTGCGTTTGGGGTTTATTACGGATAATGAATTGCGTAGCCAAGCAAGTCGAATCACCTTTTGTCTCTGTCTCTCCAATTCGCACTCATCTAACAGGTCATTTGCATCATAGGCAACGTCCTGAAGCTTGCTAAGCCATAAACGCACAACTTCATAAGTTTGCTGCTTCTGAGCAGCATCTCTGAGATAAGCTTGCAACATGGAGAAATCAGTAGTTAGGCTCTCGAGCTCTTTCTTGACTTCATCTGGCAGACAAAGTTCATCCAAAAGTAATTTTATTGTTGCAGGCAATAAGTGTTGAAATATTGCCTCCAGAAAGGCAGACTGAACAATATCTGCCATTGTGCTTTGAAAAAAAAAAAAGAGATGAAAAGGAGGAGGATCACTCAGGCAAAACAAGGAATGATGATCATTGGTTTTTGATTTAAAGCAATTGATGAAGATATTTATTTTGCATTTACGTCCTCTATAAGGCTCCTAAGAGGACTATCAGTTGACTTTAAAGTGCTGGTCCTCTAAACAAATTGGAGGTATTTAATTCAAGGTAAGTTGGAGTTTGTTTCAAGGTACAACATGGACGTTATTTGATTGTTTGTTTACTGATTTTTCCTAAGATCTGGCTTCGTAAGACCTTGTAGAATTAAAATAATCCTGAATCTTCCAAAAATAAATAAAAAAAATCCAGAGGGTAGCTGTGAAATCAACCGTTAGGTCGCCAAATTTGATATAATAAAGCCTACAGAAAATTAATCACCAAATACATCTAAAAAAAAAAATCTACGAAGCATGTCATGCCTAAAGCCATAAGTTCTTTGCCGAAAAAATGGCCTTTAAAGCTCAATGTGTTAAAATAAGCGTTCTTTTCTCTGTAAAAATTTTAAATACTAGGCCAAGCTTATTGTGATATTATTATTGATGATGGGCATATTCTCGAAACACTCATTTTTTTCCCAACAGTTGAATCTAATATGATTTTGGGCGTGAACTAAATACCGTGGCATGTCTAGAAGACCAATGATGAGTAAGAATTTTGTTGGGCAACTAAAGGCGAAGAAACTTGTAGGTTAGTCGGCTCATTGCATGTTTCTTGCATATAGATCATGAAAATAATTCATAGCGTTTTCCAACTATTGATGATAAAACGAGCCCAACAACGCAGAATCAGAAGAAGATAGAAGAGAACTATCTTTTTCTAAATTGCCCAGGGCTAAAACAAAGATGGCGTAAACCCGATAGGAAACATAATGGAGGTCAGTCATTTTCATTTTATAGGAAGAAGCGCTAGTTTATGCTTTCTCATATCTCATATGGATGACGAGATGAAGCACTTTCATATTTGGCAGAAAAGGCTTGTCTTATTTAGTGAGGACGAGATTGCTTTGAATTGGAACATTCTGATCATATGGCAATAAAAAATTCCAAATTCAATTTTCAATTAAGATTTTCAATTCAATGAAATACAATGAAAAAGAAGAAGAAAAAGAAAGAAAAAGTCTAGTTTATTATTTATATGATATGAAAATAGAGTGCTAAAAGATAAGTACTAAAATCGTGTTTTGGAATGAACCAAAATAATTGTTTGTTTTTCGATATGAGGCATGAGCAAAAATGAGAATTTCTTATGATATGCAACTGAAACAAGTTCTTGCTAATGGTAAAATAAAAGAAAAAAAATCATAAACTTTGAATAAAGAATTACACAAAGATAGGTATTAGTTACCTTATATATTTTTATTCATGATTATTATTTTTAATTTCTTTTTTACAAAATATTGATGGCATGACCATCTTCAAATTTCATGAGTTTAAGATTAAGTGGAAAAAGCTACATGATGAAAGATTCCCAAACCCCATTACATCATCTTTTGTCTGTGAAAATGAAATTAAAGAGTGAGGTTATGCATGAATAACAAAGAGCGGAATGAAACAAACATAAAGAATAAGCTTTTATACTCTATCACGTATGAATGATCCATTTCACTAATTATAATATGTCTCAATACTTTTTTGGAATGATTTACAAATCTAATTACCAGCTAATGTGGAGCTGAACAAATCAGATGGTCCAGAGCCACATGTAGGCTATCGACCGTGTTTTTCTTTTATTTTGTTTCAATTCTTATTAGTTTGTTTCATGTTTCCTTATATATATATTTTTTTAGTAGCCATCTTGGAACAAGATTCAAAGGCTAGATGAATTCATTAATTGGATACATACAGTTGAATGTATTTTATTTTTGTTTCGAAGTTCTCTTTTTGTTTGGTCCAAACAAGCTCAAAATAATTTGGAGCAACTGAAGCTCTTAGTGACCTCAATACTACTTTTAGTACTCCCAGATTTCAATCAAATCTTTGAAGTAGACTGTGATGCTTCTAATGTGAGTATTGATACGTCATGCAAAAATTATCTTGATTGGGCACGAATCTCGAGGCAAAAATCAAGTTGGAAACTTCAAAAGGTGATAGGCTCAGGTATCGTTGGTAATGCTAAGAATTTTTTAATAATTTTAACACAATTTGATTTTTTTTCAAATAAATTTTTAACCATCAAAATAAAATTGTTGAAAATAAAAATGCAGAAAAATAAAAAAGAACACAGATTTATAGTGGTTCGGTCCAACTAGACCTACGTCCACTCATTGAAGACTCCCTCTTCAGGTATTGCACTATTACTAAAGTGACTCTCCTTTTGCTCCCACAGTAAGGTGGAGAAGCCTTTATAATTACCCTCTCTTCCACCAATCCTCAGTGCAGCAGAGTACCGTCGTCCTTTTATACCCACCAAGTGTCGGCAGAGAATTGTCGCGCTTTCACACTCTCTAAGTAGCGGCAGGGAACAGACATTCTTTCACACTCACCTGGTATTGACAGAGAACCGGTGTCCTTTCACACCATTCTAGTGTCGGCAAAGAACCGGATCGATCTTCTTCAAAGATCTTCCCTCGAGCGTCTTCAAAGAAGTAAGAAAGAGATTTGGAAAGATCACAAAGAGATTCTCTCCTTTGAGTCTTTGTGAACCCTTCACACTCTCAATTTGCAAGAACTCTCTCACAAACACTCTCCCAAATCACTCTCACACTTTTACTCTCAAGAAAAATGAAGAAGGATAAGTCCAAAGTCAATTTTAGAGATTATTGTAAAAGTGATGAAATGAATATTAGTTAACTTCAAATTCAATATAGAATATAATTATCAATTGGATTGATTTGGATTAGAGATTAAATGATAGTGGAAAGAACATAATAAAAAATAATTTCAAGTGGTGATATTGCACATCTTTTCAAATATTTGTGGCATACTTTGTTCATCTTTTCTATTTAGGCTAATTTTATACCTCTTTTCACTTTGTGAATCATTGCGCATTCTTTCAATTTTTTGCACACATTGTGTATTTTTTTTTTTAATTTACGTTTTGGGTCTTTCTAAGATCAGTAATCTAAATTCAAATTTCACTAATAACAAAAATAAGAATATTGAAAAAAATAAAAAATAATAAGATATCAATATTGCAATAATGATATTCTAGTTATATTTGCCTAAAAAAATATGAAATTGATCTCCTTATCTAAATCCAATTATAATCTAATTTAAAATTTTGAAAGATTAAATTTTTGTAAGGAAATTAATTTATAAAGCAAATAATTTATAACATATTTCAATGATCAATTTCAAAATAATTTTTCTTATAAGGCATACTAACATTTCAAGAATAAGAAACAAACACAAGTCTTCAAAATATGACATTTTCCATTGATATCAAAAGAATCAAATACATTCATTTCACAGATATCAGCTTGAATAAAACACATCATCATCACAGAAAAAACTTAACAACAAACAATAAATATTATAAACATGAAAGAAAAAACATCATAACATCATTCATAAAAGCTCGGTAGAAACAACAATAATGAAGTACATCTAGATCTCAGAGGGGCTCTGATATGGAGGAGAAGGAGGCTAGTTGAACAATGAAAAATAGCTATTCATCATAGTTATATTTATATTTACCGTATCAAATTGACCACGGATCCAACCCATGGCCTCCTGGTATCTCACATCCTGCTGATTTAAACGAGTCTCAATTTGATCAAAATGTTGAACAAAGTGAGTCTCAAAATGATCAAATTGTTGGACCATTTCCTGAAAAGAGTATTGGTCAGGTCCTTGTGCAGGTGTTAGAGCTCCCCCTTCTTCTTCAGAATTATCACTCGAACTATGATCTCTCCCAAACAAAGATTGAAAAGAAACATCAGTAAAGTAGATTAGTAGTTTAGTGGGAGGATAAGGATGAATGATTTTATACTTCTTGTGTAGGATATAGGCAACAAGATGTCCTAAAGCCACATTCTTTTTCCTCTATGATGTGGAAGTCTAATTTCAAAAACATTGTACAGGTAGTCCATAATAAGTTGGGCTTCAGCAAAAGGCTTTCCAGTCATAATAAGATATGTAACAGTGGACGAGAGTAGAGTCATATTCACTATATCACTAGCTTTAAGAATAACATAAGTTCTCAAAACATGCTATATGATCCATGCATTTTGGTTTAAAGTATAAACTCGAGCTAATTGATTTACTTGGGAAACACCTCTAAGAACTTTATTAATTTCAAACCAAGCATAATCGGCTCTAGAGGTTAAAGTGTGGGCTCAAATCCCCTAGGTTCTCATATGCAGATAATTGCCTAAATCTTCTTTGGTTATTTCTATATGCTGACTTTGGACATAGGAACTTATCCTAGAGTGGTCTTCACTAACTCTCATGTTGGCTAAGAAATAATAAATAGTTTATTTGTGATATGTATAGATAAGAGTGAGAATGAAGGATAGTTGAGTGGAGGCAAATAAAGACATTAAAGAGAAATGAAGATCATCCTGGATTAGAAGTCTAGATGGAGTGATTTTCATAGCAATATACCTAAAATATACATCTTTATACTTCTTAGATAACAAGTTAGAATCAACATAACTAGAAGAAGAAGATCCCTTTGAACCACGAGGAAGTTTGCTGGAATTGGCCATTTCCTAGACAAGGGCTCTAGAGAGTTTTGATAGGAATATGAAAGTGAATGAAAACAATTTCAAAACCCTTCTATATATAGAAAAATGAAAAATCACACTATATGAAATTTTCTTCGTATTTACGATTGTGAAATCGTACGGGACGAAAAAGTTTTTGTGTTTACGAATAAAAAATACCAAAGATAAAATGGCTTTTCATAAAACATTATTTTTTAGGCATCCTTTCGTACAAGCTTTTTGACCACTCGATCATATAGACAAACATGTATTCATCAGGATGATCAAAAATTTTAAGATCATTTTAAAGATGGTTAGATTCATCCTTTACATAAATCGACACCTGGATTATATAAACGAAGATGATTTCGTATATACAATCAACAATAAATAACTGAACGTCCTAACTGGTAAAATCATCCTCACTCATATAGACGAGCCAATGCAAATCATAACGTATGATGACATCATCATCATACAGTACAAAACTTTTGAAAAATATTGGTTTTATGTGTTCAACTCCCAAAACTATCATGTATACACTACAGAATTCATACAGGACAAAAAATATTAGTTTAGAGTA